CATTTCGTTAGAAACAAATTCGCTAGAAGAGAAATGAGAACCCACCCACCACGTCTATTACACCTGCATAGCCTTTCAAACTGACTGATCTTCACTTCTTTCACCTACATCCAAAACCATCAACAATCCACTACCAACAGAGTAAAACTTTCCTCCGCCCATGCCCCTTCGAGTATTTTACGCACTGTCCACTTTACAATTGATGAAAAACAAAAGTTTTCCCTCTAAAAACCATTTCATACCCATCAATGAAACTTCCCCCCAACAACTCTTCGCTAACGACAAAACAATTAACAAAGATCACAACATACACTGATAGCAAAAATAAGTCAGAAAATTTTAATTACACACGTCAAAATAAATGATTTTACAAAGCAACAAAAATAAAAATTCTGAAATATGTGGCGGAAACATGACTTAAAAGAATTCTTCCAACTACAGACTTGGAAAAAATTAGTTTTATCACCACTCAAATTAATGAACAGATGCTGCAACAGCAGCTATCTATTGCTCTATACTTTTTTTTAAACATCTTACCCAAATCTTAGATAGATAAAATATTATTACGCCCCTCGAATACCTGTAACTATCCATCACAACTAGAGAGCCATGACCTGGCGCAACTGCCCCTTCATAATTTTATCTTACTCACACGTCGCATTCCAATACAACTTTTCAAGCCTTTGCACCTAAAAACAAACGCCTTCCATCTCCCAGGATTTGAGGGAAAGTGATAAATAAAAAACCACTTAAGCCTTTCATCACTCAGTAAGAAAATACTGAGCAAAATGCAAAAGGATGCCAAGTCACCCTAGCTTTGCAACCTACCAATAAAACTATCATTATTTGACACAAATACCGTTAGCGTGACGTGAAATAAGAAGTGAGACCTGAACAGTAAAAAAAAATAAAAATACAGCCACGAAAGCTGCATGTGAAACCCAATGCATCAAGTACAGTTGCTTACTTCCCTGTCAAATAAAACTTCAGAGCCATTATTTATATTCACTTCCCCAAAATAACCCACTTCGCAAATCAAAAACTAGACAACCTTCCAATAAAAAACGAACACCAAGGTCAGTGAGATCAACAAAAACAGAAATATGAAGTGATTATAATTTATTTTTTTTCTTCATATGCTTCTTTCTCGCTTCCAAAAGCGAATTAGCAACTACTTCTTGTCGTCCTAGAGCCATACTGACCATTTTTTGCAATAACTCCTGTGAACACTCTCCTCGTTGAGATATTTTGTGCAGTCGTGAATGATTCCCAGCAACAACAGTTACATTTGAAGCTGCGATAGCAAAAAGGTCCTCTCCCGGATCACATAAAATTTCTGCCTAGAAACCATAAATTAGTCGCCTTTCATCAAAAAATTCATAATTAACTTCTGTAGTTTCAGACATAGTTTTTTATTTACCTGCTTTCCAAATACCTCATAAGTTAAAAACGTTGAAGCTACTGGAATATCTGATAGATCAAAAGTTGTCCGTTCTTCACTTATACAAACTTCCTTAAGATCCAATGGAGCATCGTCATCAAGAGCAATGCTAATTACAGGAAGTGTTAAATCCATTAAGGCGCTAACAATACAGGTCGTCAGTGCATCCACAACAAATCCGTCCATATGTAAGATCTAAAAAAGCTACTTCTTACAACAAAACGAAACTAAAACAAAATAACCCGCCCTAATTTAAACAGTGATCTACCAGTTATATAGACAGGTAAAGTAGCACCATTATGTGCAGGTGAAGCACCCAGGTTAATCTTCCATTAGCCGTCTTGAGATTTTCTTTAGAAATAAACGCTTCTTGATCAACCAGCTGCCATAACAATTCTTCGACATCGTCTAAAGAAGCCTATAAAGCATAAAGATCCTAACTGTATCCTCAAGCAAAACTGTTAAGACTGAATCAATTCCTGAACTAAAACAAATAAATAAAAAAGCGCAATTGAAAAATGATTTATCCTGAGTAAAAATTTCAATGTTAGTATAATTTTGCTTAAATTTTAAGCTAATAAATAACTATCCAAACGCTAAATGTTAAATGACTTTAAAATTTATTAGACTGTGGTTTTAAGAATTTTGAATGACGTGGTTTTGAAAATCAATTGACACGGAATAACTCAAAAAAACTGTCGTCGCATTCAAAAAGAAAGCGAAAAAACCGTATTCGTTATGGGCATTAATGCAAACATGACAAAATCTTCTAATATTCTTTTTAGGCAGTGACTACCGGTAACAAATAATACTACATTCCGAAATTAAAGAAGTTGCAGAAGAACAAAATTATGGCTACTGCTGACGTGAACCAATTAATTGATCTTCACCCAACAAGATGCAAACTTCTTCTGACAATAATTATATTTTAACAGCTCATCAAATGTAATTTGTAAAACCTGAGGAACAGCTGGTGCTGCTTTTAAGTGTGGCACAATTACTGGAATGTCGGAAACAGGAGATAGGAACGGTTCAATTTTACAAGTTATTGTGGCACCACCCTGATTTGCGACACTCGATCCCTCACAAGAAGGAGCTATTCCCATCTGTAAATTACGTAACAGATTTACGGTAAACGATTAAAACTAAACGATTATAAAAAAGATAAGGAAAAATGTAAATCCAACACCAAAATAAGTAATTCAAGTAAAGAAAAAAAGTATGAAATCGAACCTGAATAGTAACAGGTCTGAAATCCTGTATCCGACGTCCATCAGGATAAATGCCTTCCAATATAAACTGATTGTAATAAGCCCTTGGATCACAGATCCGGAGAAGATCACTTGACATTATAGAATTTGCGAGCTCAGAGGCTAAACTACTTTGTCCTTCCAGTTTGGTAAAATTTTCTGGCTTATTATTCAATTCGTAATTTACTACAAGCAGAAGGATTCTGGCAGACTCAACGTGCATCAAATGTGACGTTTCACTGCATATTAAATAAATAAATATACAAATAAACAAATAATTAAATATATCCACGTTTCCTCATTTACGTTTGTGTATAATGTGGCTATCAAATAAAAAGCTACAATAAGCGAAGGCAACTTTTCTTGACCTTTATAATTTTTGCTGGTCGTGTCGATAGCTGCTACTCCATCTTCTAAAATAACTCCCACTATAGGCCCAATTTAATTACCCTAGCATACTGTTACATTTTAATCTTTAAAAAAGTTTTAACAACTCTTAATAGAAAAGTCACTGAACTGTACGAGGTTGGTAGAATTACGACATCATATGAATTCAATCTCCAGAATTATAGTGACTTCTGTTCAACATTCCCGTTAAAATAAAAAATCAAAAGAAATGGCGTATAAATGAAAAAACAATTCTGCCAAAAACTTCGCAAAGCACTGCATGACGGTCTCTTATATTACGCATACGTTATACTAGAACCTCGACTTCACAAAAAACTCTAAAAACAAAAAAACCCTAATTTGTTTTGAAGTTTGAGACCACGAAGAAAGAAAGTGGCATGATGTAAACATTCCACATAAAACTCAAACGTTTAAAAATGATCTGAATCCATCAAATGTAAACTTCCTTTTGTCCGTTCAACAGAATCCAGTTGTGACTTTTTAGAGAGGAAAAGTTCCGTAAGTGGAAGTAAGTCTTGAAAAGTCTCTTTTCTTTCAGTTACATTTAAACCGTCTCAAGCTTCTCAATCCTTCTGGTCCGCGAGACTTAAGCAAAAACGTATTCTCCTCTAAAAATAATTATAATACTTCTTTGCTACAGCTTTGGAGAGCAGGTGAATGATTCTATTCTTGTCAGAACTTTTGCCTAGTGGAAAAGTACTTTAGGCAGTTTGATAAAATATGTGTAAATATATCTGAAAAACTTTTAAATAAAAATTAAGCTCTCTAAATAAATCACCCCTAATTTTAAATAAATATTTTAGCGACCTAGGCAAGTGTAGCGACCTTTATTTCCCGCTAAATTCCATGTAAAATGCTGTCAGAAAAAAGTGGAACTAAGAATTTCAAAAAGAGGTTTATCTTCAGTCTACGGATGGCAACAAATACTTCAGCACCTTTTACAATGAATAAATCCCTATAACACTAACAGCGTTAACACGCTCAAGCTCACAACATAAACGTTTTAAGTTCTATTCCCGATCTTACAGCCTGGGATAAAAATAATCTAATACTGTCAAAGGGCAGAAAGCTAAAAATGAAAACGAGTACCTAGTTTTGAGGACTTTTGGACCACTTCATATGTATAAAAACACTGCACTAATGAAAAAAAAGATGATGAAATCACTAAAAAACCGTAAAAAAATACAACTTAAACAACAAATAACGAAAAATAACGTGCTGTAACAGAAATGTACTGCGGAAATGCAATTTCTCGCTGTCGTTCTCAACAGTTTTTTTTCCAGAAGCTACTATCAAGAAGAATTCGGAATTTCCTACAAAGCGACAAGCAATTACCATAATTATGTGTAAAAAAATTTCGAGAATCTCTAATTCAGATTTTTCATAAAAAGTATTCACTATCAGTTTCATAGAAGATAATAATCAAAATATATTTTTGGAAATTATTAGAAGCATTCAAAGGGGCAAATGTTCAGTTTCTTGACACTCGCCATGCAACTCATAGTTCATAATGGATTTACTAAACGAGCCACTGAAGAAGTATGCCAACGAAAAGCACTGTCAAAAGATCGCGACATTAGCAGAAATAAAACAGATTCAGAAAACATAAAGGCCCAAAGAAATTTGTCAGAATAGTAATTCTTCGCAGTTACTGGATTCAAATGTTCCAGATTCTGAAGCACACAGTTTTTTCATTCTTCCAAAAAATGCTTAAACATCGATTAATGTTATCTCCTGCCAGCGTCAACATATCTTCCACAGAAAATCCATACATCAAATATAAGTCCTATAAAAATCAGCCATGATTGTCGACTCTGTTATAGTCAATAGGGGCAGCCAACTGTCACATCGTTCCTTTCGACAATTTTTCACATTCAAACGATAGGCTAAAACAATCGTTACGAAAGCCAAATTATTTTAAAATTGAAAATTTAAGTCAATTTTTTCCTGAAATCTCCGCTGAACCGTATTAGCGTTCTCAGCTATGTTGAAGTTCTGCCAACTTTCACGTAGTGCTGTTTGGTTTTGAGGCTCTCATTTATATATGTATATGTAGCATGTTAAAAATCTTGCTTCTCAATCGAGTAGTTGTTGCTCATGCATTTATTTGCCTATGCGGTATTTCTCTGACGCATTTAAGACAACAGTTTATGTCTATTTTTCAAAGAGACTTTGCACGACCGTGGCTCTCTGCTGCTGCTCTTGCTGTTGCTTTATTATGGATATCTTATTGGTGAATGGATAGGAAAATAAACATCAGCTCTCAAACATTTTTAGCTTTCCCGTACCTTGTGTGAACGTTTTAGCAATTTGCGGTTGGGTCTTTTTTTTTTTTTTTTTTTTTTTTTT